CGGGTTCCAGAGCCCATCGGCCTAAGCGCCAGGCTGGCTTCCCGTCCGTAATGCACGTTTCCAGCTAGAGACTTCCCACACTTAGCCATTTACATTCACGTTCGTAGTTTTTGCCATATCCATGTCACCTGTACAACTATGTCTTTAGTAGTGACTTACTTTTGAACTGTAACTTCATATCACCAATTTAAATGGAAAATGAGTATCAAGTGTCATGAAAGAAAGACGATAACTGTAAAAAAGAAAAACAATAGAATGTAAACATTGCTATTAAAGCCTGGGTAGATTCGGGCACCAGCCAAGGCTCTGAGCCTGTGCAGTGTGTCAAAAGGGGAGATTGCGCATACAGAAAGGTGCTGAAGATGCACGGACACCACGCTGAGCCATTCTTGTTGGCCTAATCAGGAGGAATGACTAAATGATTCAAGGCTATTTGCCAGCCAAACTACTTCCCCTGCTGGGAAATGCTTCCCAGCTCTAACATGCAGTCACAAAATACAGGACAGAAGTTGACATCAGGAGGAAAACTATCTTTTCCTTCTCCACTTCTGAGTTCTTGGTTGGGGGCCCTGAAACGAAAAACAGATTAACAAGAGAAAAGTGAACAAATTAATTTAATGTAAGTTTAATGTGACATGGGAACCTTCATAAGGAAACGAAGTGATTAAGCCTGAGAGCCTTTTTATTTTTTTAAGACAGAGTCTCACTCTACCGCCCAGGCTGGAGTGCAGTGGTGCCATACAGCTCACTGCAGCCTCGATCACCCCGGGCTCAGGTGATCTTCCCTCCTCAGCCTCCCAGGTAGTTAGGACTAGGACTACAGGTGTGCACCACCACGCCCACCTAATTTTTTTGTACTTTTTGTAGACTCAGTCTCGCTGTGTTGGCCAGGCTGGTCTTCTACTCCTGGGCTCAAGCGATCCGCCTGCCTCAGCCTCCCAAAGTGCTGGGGTCACAGGCGTGAACCCCTGTGCCTGGCCTGAGTGTTTCCATTAGATGTGATGAAGAGTGGAGAATTGTGGGATGTGGTGGGACCAGGGAGCACGAGCGAAGTGTAGAGAAGTGAGAAAAGAGCAAGGCCTGTCGGGGCTCCTCTCTGTCCCCAGTGCTCGGAGGGGAGGGTGCCCCTTTCCTCTGGGTGTGGAGTCTGGTGACCTGCTTCAGGGAACAATCACAGAGTCCTTCCTGCACCTACTGTTTCTTGGATTCTTTCCACTTAAAATATTCAACATGCGAAGCTGCCACATTTTGGCGTAGCGTGCCCTGAATCCCATCATTGGCTACAAGGTCGGGGGCCCCACATGAGGCACACTTGGCCCCTGAGACAGTGACAGTGTGTATTTCGCGGAGGCCACTGCTTCAAAGGCCCTAAGGTGTGGATTCCTGGGAAACCAAAACAGGCTGTTTCCAAGGCTCGAGTGGAACTGATTCCTGACAGCGCCAAGCCCACAGTGTCTGTAGGAGTAAATGAAGAAAGTGTTTTTACAGTAAGTCTTCTTGGACAGAATTCTGAGGCAGAGAAAGAATGAGTGAATCAGATGTTGGATGTTCCCTCTAAGGTGTCTGTTTAAAAAATCAGGGGAAAAACCCAACCGCAGAGTCATCGCCTGTCCCCAGCTCTGAGGATCAGCATCTGTGAGGGCCACGAGTCCACCCTCCTAGCTCTGTAGACAAGGGGACTGTGGTCCAGAGAGATGGAGATCCCACAGACAGCGGCCCACCCGGAGCACCCCCTCCTTGCCTGACTTTATATTCCCAGGATGCGTTCATCAGGGTCTCAGTAAAAAAAGAGAGGGCACATTCCAACTGGGTAATAGGAAGAGGATGTTAATGAAGCATTTCTTTACAGTGGTGTCGGCAGCATATTGGGGTTCTGCGAGGAGCAGGCGGCACCCCGGTGCCTCGGTGCTGGTGCGACAAAGCCTTAGCACCCTCCCTACCTCCCTCCCTCCCTTGCGATCAGGCCCCTGATAAAAGCAGTGAACTCTGCTCCAGGCCAGGCCAGCATAAAGGCCCCAAGAGAGGAGCCAACAACACCCCATCCTCCTTCTCACCCTCCCTCAGGCTCCTGCTGGGGCTCCCACTGGCCAAACCCAAAGAGAAGCCAGAAGGCAAAGAGCCCCAGGGTACCCGTAGGGGCTCCCGAGGCAGGAGTCCCAGAGGAGAAGCCAGGAGGTGACCTGGAGCAGGACACAGCAGCTCCCTGACAGGGATCCTCACCCAGGGCACGCCTCTAGAGTAGATGGAGAAAACAACTCGGTTGACTTCAGACTCCCAAATTCTCCAGTTCCTTAACCCACCTGCCCTCTGAACTTCAGGAGAAAGTTGAGATGGAAAGCTCTCAACTTTGTTTTGAAAATGAAAGCAATGTTTACAGCCACTAGCAAGCAATTAGGATCCAGCTGGGCTGATGTGGCCAGATCTGGGGACACCCAGCCAGGTAGATGCACAACAGACCCATTAATGGAGGTCAGCGAGGAAACGCTGGACATGTCCCCCATGACCAAGCTGTGAGGACCTGAGTTATCTGTGCGGCAGTCACCATCATGTAGAAATGGAAGCCGTACATGCAGGCTGAGGCCTCTCAGCTGGACATTTCAGCCTGAGTGAGCCCCAGGAGGACAGGGGAGTTTAGTCTTCATTCCTCTCTTCTGAATCACCAGCACGTGATAGACCGTCAATAATTTGTTAAATGCTTTTTAAAATGAATGCTTTAGGCCGGGGGCGGTGGCTCAAGCCTGTAATCCCAACACTTTGGGAGGCCGAGACGGGCAGATCATGAGGTCAGGAGATCGAGACCATCCTGGCTAACACGGTGAAACTCCATCTCTACTAAAAAACACACAAAAAAACTAGCCGGGCGAGGTGGCGGGCACCTGTAGTCCCAGCTACTCGGGAGGCTGAGGCAGGAGAATGGCGTGAACCCGGGAGGCAGAGTTTGCAGTGAGCTGAGATCTGGCCACTGCACTTCAGCCTGGGCGACAGAGCCAGACTCCGTCTCAAAAAAAAAAATGAATGCTTTAGGCCAGGTACAGTGGCTCACGTCTGTAATCCCAGCACTTTGGGAGGCCGACTCAGGTGGATCGTTTGAGGTCAGGAGTTCGAGACCAACCTGGTCAACATGGCAAAACCTCATCTCTACTAAAAATACACAAATTAGCCAGGCGTGGTTGCAGGAACCTGTGATCCCAGCTACTCAGGAGGCTGAGACAGGAGAATCACTTGAACCCGGGAGGCAGAGGTTGCAGTGAGCCGATATTACACCATTGCACTCCAGCCTGGGTGACAGAGCGAGACTCTGTCTCAAAAAAAAAAAAAAAAATTAATGCTTCAAACACATGACCTCTCACGACCGTTGAATTTTGTCTCCATGAGCCCAGGAGGGCCTCTCAGAGAGGAAAATTCCTAGGTCTTCCTTTCCCCCTGCAAACTCCCTGCTTTGAACAATCAGAAGGACAGTGCTGCTCATTGCATCCTTTGCAAGTTCCAAACCCTGATCCCAGCTCTGCTTAGTGGTTCGTGCAAATCTTTTCCGTGTGTTAATTACCTCCCACTTCATTTCCTGTTTACCAACTCAGCTTTTTGTTTTAATGTGTTTGAATTCCCTGAACTGAACATTGTCTGATCTCTACCGCCCAACTGAATTAGGGGAGCTGGGCCTCTGGAAACCCAGGTGCCGGGTGTTGCAGAGCGGCTAAAAGCCGAGATGTGGCAGATCTGTGGCTACATTCATGCACACACCACACACACACACATACCCACACATGCACATATGCACACACACACACATGCACTCACACACTTGCACATGCATAGACCACAGCTTTCCACAGCCTTCCTAGACAGGGGTCACTTAGTATCCTGGAGAGGGTGTGAAGTCTGGAATGGAAAGAGAGGGGGTTAAGCCACACCTCTAGCCATGGGACTGAGACAAGTCACCCCCACCCGTCTATGTCTCGTTTCCTCCTCTCTGAGGCAAGCACAGAGCCCATGCCTCGCTCCCTGGATGGGAGTGATGTGAAACTTGAAGAGGCATAGAGACAGGGGTCATCAATGGATGCCCCTTGGGCAAAAAGGCCCTTTCAAGCAGGGCACAGAGGAGGCCCTGGGCTGAGAACTTGATAGCACCTTGTATCGGAAACCAGCCCAAGGGACTGGAAATACTCAGCTGTGTCTGTCTCCCTCATTAGGCTCAAAGTCCCTCAAGACCCTGTCTCCATCACAGTGCTCCAGTCCAGACCCCTCCTCTGAGCTCCAGACCCCGCTGGACCCAACAGCCATTCCCATCCCCATCCACCTAGAATTCTCCAAAAAACCTCCCCTCTGACAGCTTCCAGGCTAAACATATGACCTTTCTCCTCTAAATCAGCTGCCATCTCTGGCTTTGCAGGAGATAGAAGCCACAAAACCTGCCTCGCCCCTGTCCTCACCCCATCCATGTCCAATCGAGCACTAGCCACGTCAGGCGTACCCTCTAAACTCCCCTGGAATCCAGCCTCTCAGCCTCCATCATCCCAGGCCTAAGTTAATGGGCTAACTGGGCCCTGCTTCCACTCTACCCCCACTGCAATCCCGACTCCCTGAGCAGCGGCCAGGGCCTAATCCACATTCACACCAACTGCCTTCCTGACTGAGATATCCTCCTGCACCCTCATCCCTCCACCCTGCTTAGTTCTGCTCACCCTCAGTGTTATCATCAATATCCACTCGCCCTCGCAGGTGATTTTGGGGCCCCGTGTTCTATGCAGTCACAGAACCTTTTGCTTGATTTCACTGTACTTAGGTCAGTTTGCAGTTATTAAGTGAGCAATGTCTGGCTTCTCCAGTAGACTGTCAGCTCCTCGCCATTGTGTCCCTAGCACTGCTGTGTGGGAGCACTTCACAAATGTGCATTGAGTCAGGGACTCAGCAGTCTCCACTTCTCCTCCTTGCTGGAGAATGCGTGTATTTTGCAGTCCCCAGCCCCTGTGCCATCTAACCATCTTTTCTTCTCTGTTCAGCCCAGGTGTGGCCTCGCTCACATCCCACTCTGAGTCCGAATGTTCTCTCCCTGGAAGACACCAATGTTTTTGTCTGTTCGTGAGGACTCCGTGCCCACCACGGCCTCTTTCAGGTGAGTCAAGGGGATTCCTCAGTTCACTAGTTAGGGGTGGGGGGCAGACACCCTGGAGGACTCCCTGGAAAGTTCAACCCTCATGCCCTGGACAACAGTTGAAGGAACCAGTGATGTTAAAGCCCAGAGACAAAACCTCTCAAGTGTCCAAGTCCCTGTAGGCCTGTCGGGAGAGAGGGAATGTTCTGTGGAACTAGAGGAAGAGGGGCTCGGGGAGGAGAAGGACACATTCCTGGTTGTCATATGTGATCTATCCCAGATGAACTTGGAAGTGAAGGTAAGAGAGTTAAACATTGAAGTCAATACCCAGCAGATCAGACAGCAATGTGCCAGGTTGCCTTGGAGACAAAATATCTCCAACATATGGCTGACATCTGGTGGAAGATCAGAACACTTTAAGAGAGAATTTAAGGGGAGGGGGAGGGAGACCTGAGCCAGAGTAGAAACAGAGGATAGGGAGATCTGTTCTGGGAGGCAGCATTTGCAAGCAACAAGGCTGAGGGGTCCACTCCAACCTCTCCGTCTTGTGGCAGGTGCGGCCTGTGATGAAAGTGAGCAGATGGCCATCTCAGCTGCGGCCACAGTGCACTGGACCTATAGTTTCCAATTCCGCACTCACCAGGTGTCTTTCTGACGATCCTATGGCTTCTCAGAGCCAGGGATGGGCCAGGATCCATCCCCTTGGCTATCAATTGTCTTGCCGAGAAATTAATAAGCAGCCTCTGGTGCTATACTTTGGTCTCTAGTGAGTTAGCCCATGAGAGATGATTGATTCCCCAAGCCAGGGGTATGGAGGAAATGGGTTTTCTGTAGTTACAGAAATGGGGTTGAGGCTTGGACCCAGGGGACTACCCAGGGGAAATCTTACCTTCAGAGGACTCTGGAAAGGAGGCTGCAAGTTTTCATGGCTCAAGAATTCAGAGCCCAGTAGAGACAGTTTATCTCTGTTCCAAGATGTCTGGGGCCTTGGTTGGAAGACTCAAAGGCTGGGAAACCAGGATCCACTGAAAGCTTAACTGGGGCCAGAGGATCCACTTTCAAGGTGGCAAGTTGGTTCCCGGCTCTGTGGCTGCTTGAGTATCCTCACATGGCGGCTCACGTCCTTCCAAGTAAGCAATGCAAGAGGCCAAGGAAGAAGCTGCAAAGCATGTTATGACCTAGCCTCAGAAATCACACACCATCCCCGCCACCATTGGTAAGAAGTCCAGCCCACATCCAGGAGAAGAGGAAGCAGATTCCTCCTTTTGAAAGGAAGAATATCAAGTAATTTGGGGGCATATGAAAGTCACCAGGCACCACAGGGATCTTTTCAGAGTATACTTCTTATACCAACACTGTAGTCCCTGAAGACTCAGGGGCAAAGCCTCACTTCCTTAGCACCCAGTGAAGACCACGCTTACTCCCTCATTCAGCCTCCTGCTACATCTCACCTCTCCTGTCCAACATCTAGTGTCACTTTCCAGAACATACCAACAGCTTCCCCAGTTCTGTGCCTCTGCTCAGGCTGTTCCCCCTGCCTGGTCTGCTTGTCTTCCTTCTTGTGCCCTGTCGAGATGCTTCTTATCCTTCAAGACTCAGCTCTAGAGTCACCTCCAACCTTACCCACCTGCCCCCACTCCAAGTCTGTGTCCCACACCCCTCCTGCTCCCTCCAGCGCACGCTCCACACTCTGGGCCCCAGTTGTCAGGAGTCAGGCAGGGCAGGGGCCGGATGGTATCCTCTCTGTGTTTCTGCACTCAAGGCAGAGCTCAGCACAGAGCAGATGCTCAAAAAACATTGAAAGGTTAAAAGCATTGCTTTGCGGGTCCCCTGGTCTGGCTCCAGGATGCCAGCCAGCTGCTCCTAGAAGCAAAAGGAATTTTCCTGGGAAACCCCAGAGGTGATGATCAGTATCTCCTCATGACTTGTAGCTCAGCTCTTCCTCCATGAGCCTGTCTAGCAATGCACCTCCCAGAAAGAGCACCTTTTCCTTCTCTCACCCACACCATAGGGCGCTGGGAAAATGCCCACTGAGTCCTGCCCTCTGGGTTGTGCTTTGGACTTTTAAGTGTGTCTTCACATCCACTCTTTGATTTGAATCTTACAACAACCATGTAAAAAGAAACGCAAAGCGAGTCAGGATCAGAGCAATACCCCACTCCAAAGAAGGCAAAATAGAAGCCCAGAGAGGTCAAGCAATTTGCCCAAGATCACACAGCTAGGATTGGAACCCAGTTCTCTCCAAGCCCCATGCCTCTGCTGAAGGTAGAGATGATTTACAGCAACAAGTCTAGAAAGGTACCTGCCCTGTGGTCTGTGAGAATGAAAGAGGAGCCAGTAGGTTAAAGATGAGGTCACCAACAAATGGTGGTGTTGGAGTTTACCACTGGTTATTTTAATATGTTTGCAAGAATAGTTAATTACTAATGTTTACTGAGCCAAGTGCAGTGCTTGGGGCATTTTGTACATGGTCTCAGATCCCCATCCCAACTCTGAGAGGGAGATTTTTAAATTCCCATTTTACAGGCGAGGTCATTGTGGTTCAAGGACGTTAAGTAACTTCCCCAGTATCACACAGCTTATAAGTAAGGCAGCCAGGATGTGAACCCAGTAGGACTATCTGGCTCCAAAGTCCCCACCCTCCCTCGCTATCTGCATCCTCCTATTCTCTTCAGTGCTTTGCTGATAGAAGGTACAGAAATATGATGCCACCCCAGACCGTCCAGGAAGACAGGAACTAAGCAGATAGGCTGGCCTTGGTCTCTAAGCCAGACTGGAATCGCCAGGTCTGGCATGATACCATTTTTCTCTTTTAATGAATTAACTCACCCACCACAGGACTTTGAGAGGCTGAAAGGTGACCAACTCCCTTGGGAGGGGCCCGGATGATAAGGAAGGAATGTGAATCCTCCCATCATGGAAGCTTCAAGGAGGTCAAGGGTCCAAGACTTGAGATTGTTAGTGCTGTTGATGGATGCTGGCCAAGGAAATATGCCAGTGGAGCCTTGAGATGAAGAACATGAGGCCCCATTTAGATACAAGGATCAGAGGGGGCTCTGTAAGACCCAGGGGAGTCAGGTACGCCGAAGCGCTGGCCGCAGAAAGCAGCCTGAGCTCCACCTCGACTTCTCCACATCCTGGCTGGTTGTCTTTAACCCCTGCCTCCTTTTGCACCAGTTTTTGTCCTTCCCTTGTGACCCTGAGGGGTAACAGCCTCTTTTCTACTTTCAGCGCCGACATGCTCAATGTCACCTTGCAATTGCCAGCTCTTAACGGGACCTTTGCCCAGAGCAAATGCCCCCAAGTGGAGTGGCTGGGCTGGCTCAACACCATCCAGGCCCCCTTCCTCTGGGTGCTGTTCGTGCTGGCCACCCTAGAGAACATCTTTGTCCTCAGCGTCTTCTGCCTGCACAGGAGCAGCTGCACGGTGGCAGAGATCTACCTGGGGAACCTGGCCGCAGCAGACCTGATCCTGGCCTGCGGGTTGCCCTTCTGGGCCATCACCATCTCCAACAACTTCGACTGGCTCTTTGGGGAGACGCTCTGCCGCGTGGTGAATGCCATTACCTCCATGAACCTGTACAGCAGCATCTGTTTCCTGATGCTGGTGAGCATCGACCGCTACCTGGCCCTGGTGAAAACCATGTCCATGGGCCGGATGCGTGGCGTGCGCTGGGCCAAGCTCTACAGCTTGGTGATCTGGGCATGCACGCTGCTCCTGAGCTCACCCATGCTGGTGTTCCGGACCATGGAGGAGTACAGTGACGAGGGCCACAACGTCACTGCTTGCGTCATCAGCTACCCATCCCTCATCTGGGAAGTGTTCACCAACATGCTCCTGAATATCGTGGGCTTCCTGCTGCCCCTGAGCGTCATCACCTTCTGCACGATGCAGATCATGCAGGTGCTGCGGAACAACGAGATGCAGAAGTTCAAGGAGATCCAGACAGAGAGGAGGGCCACGGTGCTGGTCCTGGTTGTGCTGCTGTTATTCGTCATCTGCTGGCTGCCCTTCCAGGTCAGCACCTTCCTGGACACGCTGCATCGCCTCGGCATCCTCGCCAGCTGCCGGGACGAGCACATCATTGATGTAATCACACAGATCGCCTCCTTCATGGCCTACAGCAACAGCTGCCTCAACCCACTGGTGTATGTGATTGTGGGCAAGCGCTTCCGAAAGAAGTCTTGGGAGGTGTACCAGGGAGTGTGCCAGAAAGGGGGCTGTAGGTCAGAATCCATTCAGATGGAGAACTCCATGGGCACACTGCGGACCTCCATCTCGGTGGAACGCCAGATTCACAAACTGCAGGACTGGGCAGGGAGCAGACAGTGAGCAAACGCCAGCAGGGCTGCTGTGAATTTGTGTTAAGGATTGAGGGACATTTGCTTTTCAGCATGGGCCAAGGAATGCCATGGGGACATCCATGCATGACCTTGGGAAATGAGTGGGTGTCTCCAGTAAAACACAGGAGAATAATTCCTGCCCTGCCCAATTTTGCAGGGAGCATGGCTGTGAGGATGGGGTGAACTCATGCACAGCTGAGGACTCCATAAACACGACAGCATTACTGTTCTTATTTGCTGCCACACCTGAGCCAGCCTGCTCCTTCCCAGGAGTGAAGGGGGCCTGGGGACAGGGACAGGAGTGACTGAGCTTCCCTCCCACATGGTGTCCCTCCCTGCCCCAGCAAGACAACTTGGATCTCCAGGAGAACCACCATCCAGCTTTGGTGCAATGGCTGAGTGCACAAGTGAATTGTTGCCCTGGGTTTCTTTAATCCATTCAGCTAGAACTTTGGAGGACAATTTCTTGCATTAATGAAGGTTAAGCCCTGAGGGGTCCCTGATAAGAGCCTGGAGACCAGGATTCTGTGGCACCCCTCACTGATGGACAAGGTAGTCTGTGCCAAAGAAGAATCCAATAAGCACATATTGAGCACTTGCTGTATAAGCAGTATTGAGCACTGGAGGCAAGAGGGAAGAAAGAGAAGGAGCCATCTCCATCTTGAAGGAACTCAAAGACTCGACTGGGAATGACTGGGCACTGCCACCACCAGAAAGCTGTTAGATGAGATGGTTGAGCAGGGTGCTGTGGGTGATATGGACAGCAGAAATGGGGAGCCCAAGGTTCCAGCTCAACCAATAACTATTGCACAACCACCTGTCCCTGCCTCAGTTCCCTCTTCTGTAACATGAAGTCGTTGTGAGGATTAAAGGCAGTAACAGGTATAAAAGTACGTTGAAAAGCAAAGGGTGCTATGTACATGTGAGGCATTATTATGCACATGTAACTGCGATATGTTTACTATAAGGAAAAGACACTGAGGTTTAGAAATAGCTCCGTGGAGCAGAATCAGTATTGGGAGCCGGTGGCAGTGTGAAGTACCAGTGTCTGGCACACAGTAGGTGCTCATTGGCTCCCTTCCACCTGTCCTCCCCACCACCCTGAGCCCCCGACTGCCACACACACATGAGCATTTGGGGAGAAGGCCATGTCTTCAAAGTTTGATTTGTGATGAGGCAGAGGAAGAAATTTCTAATCGGTCTTGCCCAGAGGATCACAGTGCTGAGACTCCCACTGCCAATGGGTACCTGGGGAGGGGGAGAGTGCAGGCCTGCTCAGGGACTGTTCCTCTCTCAGCAACCAAGGGATTGTTCCTGTCAATCAATGGTTTATTGGAAGGTATCCCAGTACAAGCCCTAGAAGAGTGTGAGTAGGAATGGCAATGGCATTCACCATCAGCAGTGCCAGGGCAGCACTCATTCACTTGATACATGAATATTTATTAGCTGGTTGGAGAGCTAGAACCTGGAGGGCTAGAACCTAAAGAAGCTAAAATCTGGAAAGGCTATAACCTGGAGAGCTAGAAGCTGGAGGGCTAGAACCTGGAGGGAAAGAACCTGGAAGGCTAGAACCTAGAGAAGCTAAAACCTGGAGAGCTAGAAACTGGAGGGCTAAAACCTGGAGGGCTAGAATCTAGAGAGCGAGAACCTGGAGAACTAGAACCTGAAGGGCTAGAACCTGAAGGGCTGATATCTGGAAGGCTAGAACCTGGAGGGCTAGAACCTGAATGGCTAGAATCTGGAGAGCTAGGATCTGGAGGATTAGAACCTGATGTGCTAGAACCTGGAGAGCTGGAACCTGAAGGGCTAGAACTTAGTCTAGAACCTAGAGAGCTAGAACCTGGAGGGCTAGCACCTAGAAGGGCTAGAACCTGGTGGGCTAGAATGTAGAAGGGCTAGAACCTGGAAAGCTAGAACCTGGAGGGCTAGAATCTGGAAAGCTAGAATCTGGAGGGCTAGAACCTGGAGAGCTAGAACCTGGTAGACTAGAACCTGGCAGGCTAGGACCTGGCGGACTAGAACCTGGCGGGCTAGAACTTAGACGGGCTAGAACCTGGAGGGAAAGAACCTGGAGGGTTAGAACCTAGAGAATGAGAAAAATTTACATGGCAAAGAGCCCATAAATCCTGACCAATTCAACTCTGAATTTTAAAGCAAAAGTGTCAAAAAAAGATTCCCTCCTTACCCCCAACCCACTCTTTCTTCCCACCACCCACACCCCTCTGCCCCAATAAATACCTGGAGAAAGAAAACAGGTGAAAGAAGAAGTAAAAACCATTTAGTATTAGAATGAAGTCAAACTGTGCCATACATGATGAATGAAGAGAAAAAAAAAAGAGGCTATGTTTTGTCACACAGGGCAGTCATTCATCAGCAGAGCACGTGATGGTCTGAGACTCTCTTAGAAGCAGAGCTCTATCCCAATGGCCATGTGGGGATCCACACCTGGTCTGAGGGGCAACTGAGTCTGCAGGAGAAGAGCTGCCCTGTGCATGGTGTAGATGCCCTGATAAAGAACATCTCCCCTGTGAAAAACTCAAAGAGCTGTTATGTTGTAAACGGGAAGCATTTCACATCCGAATGAGAAAATGGATGAATCATGTAAACATGTGTCTTTTCTGTACTGCATAATAAATGGATGAGGTTTTTGCATAGCTCTAGCATTTGTTACAACTCCCAAAACCTCCGAGTTTGGTCCCTGGGACACTGCCTTGCACACTCAGAAGCCTTTGGGAGGGGGTGTTATTTATTTCTGCTCAACCTGTTAACAGGCTTCTGGCATGTAGATCAGTGGTCTCCAAGCTTCTGGGATTGTATATTCCTATAGGAAAAAAAGGATTGATTATGCATACCCAATATGTATACTTATTAATATGTATGAAGATGTACATTCTAAAATATAATCAACCAGTAGAAATTTAAGAAAGAAGATGTAAAAAAATATTAACAGTGCTTGAATATTTCCTTCCATCTTACATTTCTGCGGGAGTAACTCATTACCAAATTCCCACCAGGTGCATGTGAGACCCTCATGAGGCCCTAGAATCATAGGCACAGCAGCGATTCAATCATTTATTCCCACAGTATAGACTTACTGAGTGCCTACCACTTGACTTTCCCTTCAAATCAGGAGTATCCTCTACAATATCCTGATGAAAGCCACTTGTTTCATACTCCCAATGATGGGGAACTCATTATCCATTCCACTTTGGGATCCCTTCATTATTCATGTATTCATTCCTTCACTCATTTATTAAACAAAACTTGTCTAGTCTGTCTCCATAAATGCCCCTCGTCCATCCACGCATCCATCCATCCATGCCAGAAACCTGGAGCTCATCATTCAATGTACTCTCTCCTTCATACCTTCCATCTAGTGGGTCAGCACCTCTTTTATTTTTTTTTAACTTTTATTTTGAGTTCAGGGGTACAAGTGCAGGTTTGTTACATAGGTAAACTTGGGTCATGGGGGTTTGTTGTACAGATTATTTCATCACCCAAGCATTAAGCCTAATACCCATTAGTTATTTTTCCTGCTCCTCTCTCTCTCCCCAACCTCCACCCTCCACTAGGCCCCAGTGTCTGTTGTTCCCTTCTTTGTGTTCATGTGTTCCCATCATTTAGCTCCCACTTGTAAATGAGAACATGTGGTATTTGGTTTTCTGTTCCTGGGTTAGTTCGCTAAGGATAATGAGCTCCAGCTCCATTCATGTTCCCGCAGAGGACATGATCTCATTCCTTTTTATGGCTGCATAATATTCCATGGTTGTACACGTACCGCATTTTCTTCATCCAGTCTACAATTTATGGGCATTTAAGTTGATTCCATGCCTTTGCCATTGTGAATAGTGCTGCAATGAACATTCACATGCATGTGTATTTATGATAGAATGATTTACATTCCTTTGGGTATATACTCAGTAATGGGATCAGCACCTCTTTTAGATTCTACTCACTAAGTGTTTCCTAAATCTATGTTTCTTTCTATGTCCAACCATCATCTGTCATGGGTGCCTCCAATCCTAATCTCTACCATCTCCCAATTCTTATTCTCCACTCTGTAGCCAACGTGGTCTTTTAAGAATGCAAATACATTCATGGGGAGGCTATAAACATAGAGAACTGTGTTCAGGAGCCAAGACTTTGGGATTAGATAGACCTGGATTCCACTTGTGGTTCAGCCCTGGGCTCTTATTTGATGTGTAGTCTTGGGTACCTCAGTTATCCTGAGTCAACATTTCCTCATCTGTAAAATGGGGATAATAATGGTATCTACCTCAAAAATTGTTAATAGGATTAATGTATGAAAGCATCTAGCACAGTGCCTGGTACATAGTTGGCACTGAACATGTACTAGCTTTGATGATGATGATGATGACGATGATGATGATGATGTTGGCAGTGAGTGTGATGGGCGCATCCTCCAAGGGAAACCCTTCTGCAGTGTCCCACCCCTCTTGCGATAAGGTTCTACAGTTGTAACATGGCTTGCAAGACCCTACATGATCTGGCCCCTGTCTTGTCTCTATGTCTCCCTCTCTCTGCTCCAGGTTCATTCTCTACTGGCCCAGCCATTTGGACACAAGAACCTAGAGATATCCCAGAAGATATTTCATTCTGCCTCCAGTGCCCATTCTTCCCACCCAGGCTGCACCCCCTCACTAAGTGCCCTGAGGTTGGAGGAAGTTGTCCACAGGTGCCTAAGGGAGCTCACTCATCCAGGGAATTTTGTTCACAGATGCCTGAATTACTCAAGGGAGTCTGCAATCCAGGGGAAACCACATGCCTGGAAACCTGAGCAGGGCTCTTAGCAGGCAAAAAAAAAAGGAAAAAAAAAAAGGGCTGGGAGAGCCTCACCAGCCAGGCAACAGAAGCAGCCCCTCAACTCCTGACCTTCCCCGGCTCCAGCAAGCTGGCGCAATGGGAAGAAGCCCAGGTGGGCTTATGGGACCAAGCAAGGGGCCTAGATCCTGAGTCTTCCCTGGCCAGAGAGAGTGAGAACAGGATGCAGAGATGCAAACTGGACACCAGATGACCTCACAGAATTCATGCTAGTGCTGGAGCCTCTTGAATACAGCCTTCATGACTCAGAGTGGGGCGTCTCCATTCTGCAGACCCCAGCCATATGCTGCATTATCTCCTTGTTACCCAATTCCTGACCCTTACATAGCTCTGATCCTTCACCAAGGATGCAGGTGGGGAGCAGGGATGAGCAACAGAGGTCATGGTTTGGCAATAGCAATGGCTGAAAGTTTAATCGTTTGTTCGTGAGAGTTTTATTCTGGTTTTAGTTTTTTATTTTATTTTGTTTTGTTGGCTGAGGCGAAACAGTCCTAGGTCAAAGGGACCCCATCAAAATATTTTGTGCTCACAACCACTCTGAGAGTTTGCATGATCACTGGGTCATGGTATGGAAACTGAGGCCCAGAGAGGGAAGTAACTTGCCAAGGCCACGCAGTTCTTAAGGGGGGTGCTCTGGAAGCTCTCTCTGTTCTTGGGGTGTTCATGCCTTGACAAACGGAGGCATGAACTGCAAATTCTGTCACAGGAAAAGTCCTTGAAGTGCCTTTTTGCATGAGGAGCTTATGAGCCAGGGCTTGGGTTATTTCTGCCGCAATAAAAGCTTTGCCTCTCGTAAGCCTTGTGCATACTTGCTTTCTGCAGATCTCCTTCCCAGAGGCTGGTGGATGTAACTCACATGCCACGTAGTTCACCCACTTCAGCTTTTACTTAACAACTGATTCATGCAACCATCACTACTATCTAATTCCAAAACACTTTCATCATCCCCCAAAGAAATCGCATATTCATTAGCAGTCATACCCCATTCTTCCTTCCTCATGGCTTTGGGCAACCGCTAATCTTTCTGTCTCTAGATTTACCTGTTGTGAAAGAAGCCAGGCACACGTTGTAGGATGCTGTCTCTGTAGAGCCTACAACATATGCCTTTTGTGTCTGGCTCCTTTTACCTCCTTACACTGAGCTAGAATGTTTAATTGTTGGGGGAGAACTTTGGGGACCAGGCCATGGGTTCCCTACCATGCCACTTGTGTCATCTCAGAAAGTCACTTTACTCGTCTTCCCTCCCACCACCTTTGGTCTTAGTTTGCTCATCTGTCAAATGGAGAGATAATAAGTCATGACTCTAACAGGCTTCTGGCATGTAGACCAGTGGTCTCCAAGGACTGCCTTATGTGATGTTGATGCTGTCCTCTATAGTTTAGGAAGGCCCCAGCACCAGTGGTACAGGGGCTTGGAGGCAGGTTCCTGGTTCACATCTCACCTCTGCCGCTTCCCAGTTGTGGGAATTTGAACAAGGTCAGCGAATTTCTCTGAGTGTCTTTTTTCTCATCTATTCTCGTCTATTAAATGAAGATCCAAGTATTGTGAAGATTCAGTCTGATAAAGATGTTGTGATGAGTTGAGGAGTATCCCTCCACCCCAACTCATGTCCACATGGAACTTCAGAATATGACCTTATTTGGGAATAGGGTCTTTGCAGAAGTAGTTAAATTAAGATGAGGTTACACAGGTTGAGCATTCCTAACCCAAAAATCTGAAATCACAAATGCCCCCAAATCCATAACTTTTGAGCACTGACATGATGCTCAAAGGACATGTGATTGGAACATTTTAGATTTTGGATATCTGGACTACGGATGGTCAGCTGGTAGGTATTCTGCAAATATTCCAAAATTCAAAAACATTGAAAATCCAAAACACAAAAACTTCTGGTCCCAAGCATTTCTGGATAAGGGATACCCAAACTGTACTGGACTAAGGTGATCCCTAAATCCAATAACTGGTGTCCTTATAAGAAGAGGAGAAAAACACACAGAGACACAGAGAGAAGGCCATACGAAGACAGAGGCAGAGACTGGAGCAATGCTTTCACAAGCCAAGAAATGCAAAGGATTGCCCAGAATCACCAGAAGTGAGGAAGAAGCAAGGAGCAGCTTCTCCTTCAGAGTCTTCCAGGAGGAACCAACACTGCTAGCACCTTGATTTTGAACTTCTTGGCCTCCAGAACTGTGAAAGGACAAACATTCGTTGTTTAGGCCACTTAGATTTTGATACTTTGTATGGCAGCCTGAGCAAATGGATTCAGGTATTTTAGTCTTTTTGAGCACATGCTCACCATCAAGTTTCCCATTAAGGTACCTGCAGGCGCCTTCTCTCAACAATGAGAGAGCACACTGGATGTTTTTCTCGGATCTCTTTAGGGTTAGAGATACTTGTTAGCACAGATTTCCTAAGCAATAATAGGAAATGCAGTCTTACTGAACTGTAGAGAATTTTTTTCAAATGGAAGATACTGAGGCCTTTCCCATGTTGAGGGCCAGCCCGAGCCCCCAGAGCGTGAATCACGGGTCCGAGGTGCTGAGTGTAAATGCCCATCCCTGCGAACCTGGGACCTGGGATCTGCTGATTCTTTCTTCCTTCCCCAGAACCAAAAGGCAGACCAATTCAAGGAGTCTCAGACCAGGATTTAAATAAATAAATAAATTAATTAATAAATAGCCTCACAGCCCAGCTCCCAGCTGCCAGACAGCCCAGTCACCAACCCCACCCAGGTGGGAGGCTATTTGTAGACAACCCTGAAAGATGGCCAAAGACAGGGTTCTAAGACTCTCTGGATGCCTCCCTTTATGCT